CACTGCACTGCTTACACTTTCATGCAATCTACAGAGTAAAGTACAGTTTCTATTAGGTGACAAAGTCCAGTGTCCCTCAGACCCATTTTGTATTGCCACACTCAGGTGTTTCTCAGGTGTATTGTACCACGTGTTAATTCCATAAGACCAAGCACATTTGTCTGCTCCCTTCCTCACGCCCTTCTGCCTATGAAGCCTCTGTCCCCTTTTCCATGCGTGACTGGTGGGTGGGTGGGGGGCAACAGGCTAGTTCCAATCTCAGTCCTGCTGTATCTGAGACAGCCTGTTGGAAATGACAATTCGCTGCTCTGCTCACTTCCTACCTTGCCCCGATGACCACTTTTTGTTATTTTTCTGTGCAATGGAAAGATGGCGCATTTTGCACTGCTGCTGGCAATAACTGCTTTTTGGTTTGTGAATACTTGTGTCCCAAGAATTAGATGTTTCAACATTTAAAGCAACTCTAAATTGCCTAGGATTTTTTGCTAATGTTAATTCCCTCAAAAATTAAAAATCTTTTTCTTTATGATAAGATTAAAACACTTTCCTAAAGTGTTATCAGGCTGACATGAATATTGATGGATGGAGTGATGAGTCACCACATCAAATGCTAGTCAGACACTGGAAAGCAGAGATTCAAATCTCTCATTTGCATGCTCATGCCTAGATGGTGATATTTCACACTTGTAAGATGGAACTTTTTTGCTATTGTTATTTTAGATTTCCAAGGATTTATTTTCTATTTTGTAAATATACAAGTACTTTCAAAATTCATTCACTTGACACAAAAGAAAGCTCTAGACAGCCAATCACATGGGCCACTTACTAGGTGTACATTCTTGGCAAACAGCTCAAACTCTCTGCACTCCAGTCTCTTCATCTGCCAACCATGAGTCTCTTTTACAGGACCAGACACCTGAGACACAGGTGCTCTATCAGTGGCCATTTTGTGATTACTGGTAAACTTGCTGCCCTAGGTTCTAATAAGACTTGATTTCAAGCTCCCTGAAAACAAGAAGTGTTTCATTTATCTTCATTTTCCCAGTCTTGTACTTAATCAACAGCTTTTAAATTCAGAAATATCACTCAGATAAACTTTCATGTCTATTTTATTAACTTGCCATCATCTTTCCACTGGGTTTTCCTGTATGTAGCTTAGTATGATAATTTAAAAATATTGAATTTATATTTGATGCATTTAAAATGAGTAGAACCTTAACTGACCATGAATGTTTTCCTCATCTACATTTTAAAACAAAGGGTTAGGATTTGGGTTATTTTCCTCAATCAGTAAAATAGCAATAACTCAAAAGTAAAGTTGAAAGTTAAACGTCACTAATATGAAAGGAAATTGTGCTCCTGTGTTGACTGCAGTGCTCTTTACAATAGCCAAGATATGGAAACAACCCTAAATACTCCCAAATAGATGAATGGATCAAGATGATGTGTGTGTATACATAATGGAATACTATTCAGCTATAAAAAATACAAACTCGTGCCATTTGCAGCAACATGAATGGAGCTGGAAGGGATTCTGCTAAGTGAAATGAGTCAGAAAGAGAAGATAAATATTAGATGGTTTCACTTATATGTAGGATATAGAGAAACCTAAGGGCTAG